TATTTATTGTGGCATTGTTTGTCATGTAAAAAAAAACAAAACAGAATCAGCTTGCATGCCTGTCAGTAAGGGAATTTGACAAGTGAAGGGCACTACTTCCCCTATAGAATAGTGTGAAGCTATTGGAAAGAATGACTGACCCAGGTGTGCTGGCCTGGACCATGCCCTGATGGCTTACGTGAACAACGCAACATAGAATATTGTGTACAGAATACTTCTACCTTTTAAAAATTAAAATGCACATACACAAGTGTGGGTGCTGGGTGTTAAAATGCCCTTGAGTTGGCTCTGACTTCTGGTGACCCTGTGAATGAGTGATGTCCAGGATGTCCTTTGCTCAACATACTCAAGTACATGAGCATAAAGGAAAATGGAACTTATGCACTCAACTGTTACTGTGGTCCAGGAGTGTGGTGGAGAGGTAGGGCCTTTTTCTAATACCTTGTGTTTGGAAAACATGTTTTGCATTTGTAGTTGAAGAGAAAATTCAGGCATAAAAAACTGGTTAGGCCCTAACCGGTTTGGCTCAGTGGATAAGAGCATCGGCCTGCGGACTGAAGGGTCCCAGGTTCGATTCCGGTCAAGGTCATGTACCTTGGTTGCGGGCACATCCCCATTGGGGCGTGTGCAGGAGGCAGCTGATTGATGTCTCTCTCTCATCCATGTTTCTAACTCTCTATCCCTCTCCCTTCCTCTCTGTAAAATATCAATAAAAATATATTTTTTTTAAAAACTGGTTAGGCAAACTAATCTTTTTATTGTACAATAGGGGCCCAGTGCACAAATTGGTGCACATTGAAAGGAACTGTGGGCCACAAGGCTGCAGTAGGCACAGGGGCGGGTCTTGGCCCATCCTCTGCGCCCCGCCCAGCCCCTCCTGCCATGGCCCCTGGTCCCCTGTCTGCTGGCAGCCCCGCTCCCGCCGCTCCCACGCACTGACGGCACTGGTCCCACTCGCACCTGCTGACAGCACAGAGCAATTGGGGCCGGCACCAGCAGCAGGCACGAGCGGGGCCAGTGCTGTCAGCGGGTGCAAGCCACGGCTGCTGCCCTGATTGCCCCTCAAGAATGGGGGAAGGTGGAGAAGCCTTCAGGGGCGAGCAGGGCCAGTAGCTGCTGCTCGCACCCGCTGATGGCGCCGAGTGATCGGGACCGGCAGTGGGTATGAGTGGGGCCGGCAGCAGGTGTGAGCACCAGGCAGGACTGTGGCGCAGGAGCAGAGAATTTTCAGTAACCACCAGAGGCTCACCCCAATGACAGTGACCAGCAGTGCCCCACCTTGGTCTGGTGCCCCCACTCACCTGCTCCACCATCCCACTGTGGCCAACGCCCGCCATGTTCCACACACGCCCCCTTGTGGTCAGCGCACATCATTGCATATTAGCCTTTTATTATATGGGATTATTATATAGGATAGCAACCTTTAGCATCTAAGACGTACGGATTGATTGATTGATTGATTGATTGATTGATTTATAGAATCCAGATGCAAGGTATTACTAAGTTTGATCCTTTTATTGATGCAGAAGATATTCCAGTGATCTTTCAGAGCCTTGGGATTATTTTTATGGGATTGTTGTAAGGTTAAATGAGATGGTCCTTTAACTTGCAGTAGTTCCTGGAACAGTGCCTATGTGTGGAGATAATGTAGCACCTTACTGAGAGCATGGATTGGGAAAACCGGGGTGCCTGGCTTTGAGTCCTCACTCATCACTGGCTCTTTTGGGCAGGTATTTATCTTAAAGTGCCTCAGTCTCACCATCAGTAGGTAACAATAGTATCTAAGAGTATTACAGGAATTAAATGTATTAAAATATGGAGAGCACTACAACAGTGCCTGGAAGGCAGTAAATGTTAATTATCATTTTTATAAGTTATTCTCAGTGTGGCCAACAAAAATGTGAGGTAATCTCATGTTTTTAATGGAAATATCACTCCGTATTCCAGAGTGAGAAAGATGGGGAGAGGAGAGGCTCATTCCATTCAGCAGTAGGAGATAGGCCGTCTTTGGGGTGATGCCCAGTTTGGGACACTATCTTAGTCCAGCGATTTCAACCCTTTTCATGTAATGGCACACATAAACTTATTACCAAAATTCTGCAGCATGCCAAAAATGTTTTTTTGCCAATCTGAACCAAAAATAGGTATAATTTTGATTCATTCACATCGGACAACTATTGTGTTGACTGTCATTTTTTTTATTTGACACTCTAAGGAAAAAGAGATCAGTGTCTCTGACTAGTAGTTAGGTATTGCATGTTTTAAAAATTCTTGCAGCACACATATTGAAAACTATTGTAACCAAAGAAGAGGGGTCAGGCTAATTCTCAAGCTGGAAAAAAACTCTTGTGAGGAATTAATTCTTGCAAGACTGGAAATGTGTTACCTGGGTAAAAGAGGACTTCCTGCATTGGACACTGGCAGTGAAACGACCTGATTTAGCTGAGAAGTTTAATTCAGAACTTAATATCTGACCTGACACAGCTGGAAGGCGTGGCTGTTCTTCAGGTTGGCCTTCTCCTGTACTCCTCGTGAGTAAGCGGTTACGCTGAATGCCTTTTAATGGCCTTCTAATGCTGCTTTTGAATACTTCCCAGAGTCTTTATGTTGCTTGTGAGAAAAATGAAAGTATTTGCAACTACTTAATATGTTAAGGGTAATACTGAGGAATTAGGATATACTTTAATTAGTAGTTATTTTCTTTTTTTATATTTTATTGATTTTTTACAGAGAGGAAGGGAGAGGGATAGAGAGTTAGAAACATCGATGAGAGAGAGACATCGATCAGCTGCCTCCTGCACACTCCCTACTGGGGATGTGCCTGCAACCAAGGTACATGCCCTTGACCGGAATTGAACCTGGGACCCTTGAGTTCGCAGGCTGACACTCTATCCACTGAGCAAAACCGGCCAGGGCTTAGTAGTTATTTCCCATTTGAGTTAGATGTATAAAGCAGAAGAGTTTTTTGTTTTTTAATTTTTAAAAAATATATTTTGTTGATTTTTCCCAGAGAGGAAGGGAGAGGGATAGAGAGTTAGAAACATTGATGAGAGAGAAACATCGATTAGCTGCCTCCTGCACGCTCCTTACTGGGGATGTGCCCGCAACCAAGGTACATGCCCTTGACCGGAATCGAACCTGGGACCTTTGAGTCCGCAGGCCGATGCTCTATCCACTGAGCCAAACCAGTTAGGGCAGAAGAGTTATTTTTTATTAAATCAGGAATTTATCAGGTATTTAAGGTATTTCTGACCTAAAGACTCCTGAAGAAATTTCCTTCCTTGGAGTTTATAAATTTTAATTAAAGTTTTTGTTTTTAAAAGAATAGAATTGGTACCCAGTTCATATCTATATAGAAGCAAAAAGACAGTATGGATGCTTTGGATTTTCAGTGAGCACATTTCTGTCCTTGAACTCCAAGGAATAGGAGATGGGACAGAGCCTGTCTTGAGACAGTATGTGGAACTTCATGGGATGTGCGCACCTTCATTTTGAGCCCTGTGGGTGCCAATTCATGTATTTAATAGCATAAATAGAGATTTGGGGGGGAAGCTGGAGAAGAAGGAATTGTAATTAAATTTTGTGTGGAAAGGGAAAATTGAGTATAAAACATTAAAGACAAAGTACTCTGTTGTGTTATCATTCAGATTTTTAAATTTAAAAATGTGCCTGGCTCTCTCCTGCGTTTATCTTGGAGTTTCTGAAATTCTTTATCTTTTCCATGGATTTGTATTGAATTGGATACTGGGCTGGAGGCACCAAGTTAAGGTATAGGGTTCCCTCAGCCTCTTATTTCTGTGCTTTGAGATTTTACTTTGTGGTTAATTCAGAATGTTATTGAAATGGGAATTTTTAAGATCTATAGATCTTTGGAGAATCCCTCTATCGCCGAATTTATATCTTTTTTGGGGGGATGGGGTGGTTGGTAATCCTCGCCCGAAGATATTTTTCCATTGATTTTTAGAGAGAGGAAAAGAGAGAGAAACACACTGATTGGTTGCCTCCTGCACGAGCCCTGACCAGGGCCCAGGCAGGGGAGGAGCCTGCAACCAAGGTACGTTCCCTTGACCATAATCGAACCCGGGACCCTTCGGACCGCAGGCTGGCGCTTTATCCACTGAGACAAATCTACTAGGCACTGAATTTATATCTTGAGGTATACATTATTTTCTTACTCTAAAATCAGTTTTTGTCTTCCCAGGGTTCATTTAAAAATTTTTATTTTTAAATGTTGATTACTGGCCCAACTGGTGTGGCTCAGTGGTTGAGCATCGACCTATGAACTAGGACAGTGATGGCGAACCTTTTGAGCTCGGCGTGTCAGCATTTTGAAAAACCCTAACTTAACTCTGGTGCCATGTCACATATAGAAATTTTTTGATATTTGCAACCATAGTAAAACAAAGATTTATATTTTTGATATTTATTTTATATATTTAAAAGCCATTTAACAAAGAAAAATCAACCAAAAAAATGAGTTCGCGTGTCACCTCTGACACGTGTGTCATAGGTTCGCCATCACTGAACTGGGAAGTCATGGTTCAATTCCCAGTCAGGGCACATGCCCGGGTTGCTGGCTTGACCCCCAGGAGGAGGCATGCAGGAGGCACCTGATCTGTGATTCTCTTTCATCATTGCTGTTTCTGTCTCTCTCCCTCTTCCCTTCCTCTCTGAAATCAATAAAAATGTTTTGTTTTGTTTTTTAATGGTTGCTTTTAGTAATGAAATTATGGTATCAAGAAGAATGTTTTTCTCAAAATACCCATTGGCCCTTATAATGCCTGTTGGGTCATTTTTATTGCTTTTTTGTTGTTGATTGTAACTGTTGGAAACAAGTGTCCATATTAAATAGCAGTGAAGAAAATATTTTAAAAATAAATTTTTTCCCATGGGAGGAGAAAATTTGACCTTAACAGCAAACCTATGTCAAAGTCTCCCCCTTTGAAAAGCCATCCTGGCTGATGCCCAAGCGCAGTCTAAGCAGGTGTTCCGTGTCCTAGGGAAAGAAGCTCAGAAAGGATCTCTGCTCTTTGACGACCTCCCTCCGGCCAGCAGTACTGACTCAGGTACAGTCTTCAGGCTCTCCCAGGTGTGTGTCAACGTGTCATCCTGGGATTGTAGTTGTCTCAATCTTTTTCCCTTTCCCCCATTTTCAACACACAGATGTTTTAGGTGTTGGACTGTCTTAAGTTTTGAATCCATGGCATCAGGTAAGGCAGAAAAATCCACTAGTTGCTAGCTCTGAGAAACTGCGTGAAATGTTGAGCAGTTTTCTCTGGTTCATTTGAGTATATTATAGCTGAAATATGATGTAACTCCGTAAGGCAGGTTTTTGTTTCCTTTCAATGATAGGACTTTAAAAGAAATTATTTACCGCAGTGTGAATTGCCACTGGATTGACACAGAGTTTTGAGTTTATGTCAGTGACCTGCATAGGCGTCCTGGTGGGATGGATTCTGACACTTATGCCTTACCCAGGTTTTGTGGGCTCACTGAGTGTCCTGCTGTGTTTCAGGACCAGGCGGACCTTTGCTTTTTGATGACCTCCCACCAGCCAGCAGTGGCGAGTCAGGTAAGTAGTAGGGAAAAATCCAATGTGCTAGTGGAAATAATACATATTTTACTCTTTTGTGAAATTTATTTATAGCTTTTAAGGTTTAGGATGACATTAAATTATACTATAGCATAGATTTATTAAACGCAAGTAGGCATCATCAGATGGAAGGAAAAAGATTAGCTAGATATAACCTCACTTTTTGGTGATTTTTTTTTTTTCTTCCTTGGGGTTCAGCCTCTTACAGCTGACTAAGAATTAAGAGTTTAGTAATTTACTTTCCACTTCGTTATTAATGTTTTTTAATTAAAAAATCTCTGTCATTCTGGTTTGCCTTATGTTCCTGACCCAAATGTATCCAGCGGAAGTATCTGAATATATGAAATAGAGTTAAAATACTTAGTGTCACCAGCCGGCTTGGCTCAGTGGTTGAGCATCAACCTATGAACCAGGAGGTCACGGTTGGATTCCCAGTAAGGTAACATGCCCTGGTTGCAGTCTCAATCCCCAGTGTGGGGCGTGCAAGAGGCAATCAGTGATTCTCTCTCATCATTGATGTTTCTATCTCTCCCTCTTCCTTCCTCTCTGAAATAAATGTGTGTGTGTGTGTGTGTGTGTGTGTGTGTGTGTGTGTGTGTGTGTGTGTTTAGTGTCCCTGAACCCATAAATACTGATACGTAGGTCTTCTGTTTTCTGCCACTTATACTAAAAAGAATTTTGATTTAAGAAAATGAGGTCTGGCCCACGGGCATGACTCAGTGGTTGAGCTTTGACCTATGAACCAGGAGGTCACGGTTCAATTCCCGGTCAGGGCACATGATGGGTTGTGGGCTCGACCCCTATTGTGGGGTGTGCAAGAGGCTGCTGATCAGTGATTCTCATCATTGAAGTTTCTCTCTCTCCCTCTCTTGCTGAAATCAATAAAAGTATATTTTTAAAAAGAAGAAGAAGAAGAAAATGAGGTCTGAATGACATTGGTTTAGTGTTTGGTACAGATCCTTTGCAGGAATTGTCTTGAAATTCAAGACCTAAGTTAGTTATTTTCCAGTCAATTCATATGTTCTTGAGATTCTGTTTATTGATTTAATTTTATTTTCGTCAAGCCTATTAACATTGGCTCTACCTGTTCTGTAAATGTTTAACTTCTTTTCCTGTTCCAATTTAGGAGGTAAGAATAGAGTGGATTCCTCTAGGACAGCGGTTCTCAACATGTGGGTCGAGACCCCTTTGGCGGTAGAACCACCCTTTCACAGGGGTTGCCTAAGACCGTCGGAAAACACATATATAATTACATATTGTTTTTGAGATTAATTATGTTCAATTTGTAACAATGAAAATACATCCTGCATATCAGATATTTACATTACGATTCATAACAGTAGCAAAATTACAGTTATGAAGTAGCAACGAAAATGATTTTATGGTTGGGGGTCACCACAACATGAACTGTATTAAAGGGTCGAGGCATTACGAAGGTTGAGAACCACTGCTGTAGGACCTAGAGCAGTGATGGCGAACCTATGACACGACATGCGTGTCAGAGGTGACACGCGAACTCATTTTTTTGGTTGATTTTTCTTTGTTAAATGGCATTTAATCATATAAAATAAATATCAAAAATATAAATCTTTGTTTTACTATGGTTGCAAATATCAAAAAATTTCTATATGTGACACGGCACCAGAGTTAAGTTAGGGTTTTTCAAAATGCTGACATGCCGAGCTCAAAAGGTTCGCCATCACTGACTGACCTAGAGTCTAGGTTATCATAATGAGGAATCTATTACTCTGTCTCACTGAGAACTGACATGGAATTCCCCTGGGGAAGGGAAGGTATAGTGGCCTGGGAACAGTTGGGGATGCAGTTTTTTTCAAATGCAATTGTCTTCTGGTAAGAAGACCTTGTCTGTTGTCAAATAGAACACTTGCTTTTCAAATCTCTCTTGTTTTTTTTGTTTGTTGTTGGGTTTTTGTTTGTTTGTTTGTAGAAAAGCAAATAAGAATGTATTAACTGCAGCAAAAACATACTTTAGGGCAGTGAAACAAAGAAGGGCCTAGAACAGTGGTTCTCAACCTTCTGGCCCTTTAAATACAGTTCCTTATGTTGTGACCCAACCATAAAATTATTTTCGTTGCTACTTCATAACTGTAATGTTGCTACTGTTATGAATCGTAATGTAAATATCTGATATGCAGGATGGTCTTATGCGACTCCTGTGAAAGGGTCGTTCGACCGCCAAAGGGGTCACGACCCACAGGTTGAGAACCACTGGCCTAGAAGAAGCAACAGGAGAGCCTGGGCTAGGCTGCTTTGGCTCACTGGGAAGTCAGAGAAAAGGGGAGGAAGGGGGGCTTGAAGACATTCAGGGGGTTAGCCTGGGACCACATGCTGGGGGTCGCGGTGGAGGAGAGAAAGGGAATGGCATAAGCGTGCTCCCTGGAGGCCAAGTGCACTTCTTTTTTGTATTATTAATTCATTACCATAAAGTCGTTGGAATTAGTCTAGAAAATATGGATTAAATTATTATAGTTTCTGTATTTAGGAAAAGTATTACAGTCATCTTACATACCTATACCAAAAAATTATAGCATACTCATACAATTTAGCCTAATAAAGATCTTCCCAATAAAGATCGTGCTTTTAGTTATAATGAATGTTGTGTGCAAGCAGGGCTCCTAACAGATTTAATAAAACTAAGGAAGATTCAGCATAGTTGTGGCTTAGTTGTCCATAGGGCAAAAGACAGTAAATTGTTAACAACTTAGAAGATTTCAACATTACTCTTAACAAGATTGAGGTATTTTGGATATAGAATCCAATCTTGCATCCAGTATTTTGGATTTTTTTTTAATATATATTTTTATTTCAGAAAGGAAAGGACAGGGAGAGAGATATAGGCACATCAGCGATGAGAGAATCATTGATTGATCGGCTACCTCCTGTATACCCCACACTGGGGATCGATCCCGCAACCTGGGCATGTGCCCTGACTGTGAATTGAACCATGACCTCCTGGTTCATAGGTTGACACTCAACCACTAAGCCACACCGGCCAGGCTATTTTGGATTTCTTGAAAAGATAGTCTTCTCAAGCAGGCAAGAAACATTTACAAAAATTGACTACATTCTAGGACATAAAGTAAAATCCCAACGAAGATAGACCACATTCTCTGATTTCAGTGTGATTCTTTTAGAAGTCAAAAACAAAGCTTTAAAATGTTCTGTTTTCCAATTTAAAAGCAAAGAAGGTTCTTTTACATACACATTGGGAAAAGGGAACACAAACAGTAAGTGACAGGAGGTTAATGAAGAGACCATTGGGAGATTCTGTTGGAAACATCCAGGAAATTTTGTTAATTTGCCATATTATATGGGGTGGGGTATGTGTGCTTTGTTATACTGTTGTATGAAATAAGAGTCAATTACTTGCAAAAGGACAGATTATGAAATGCAGACATCTTCCTTTTTCCTCAGTACTCAGAAATGCCTGGCAAAGAATAGTTGATAAATAGTTGCATGCTTTTATAGCTAAATGCAAAGAATACTTAGGTCCATTTATCATGACAGCAGCTACCATTTGTTGGATACTTGATCGACGAAGCGCTGTGATAAATGCTTTACATAACTTGTCCATCAGTTTTCAAACAACCCTCTGAGTTTACCATATTCTTCCCAAGAAAGCTAAGTAACTTGCCTTAAGGGCAACCCTCTTGTGAGTGGCAGAACCAGGATTTGAAGTTAGACCTTTCTAAACACCCACCACCACCACGCTCGCGCCTTGCAGGTGCTCTTAGCTTTGGCTTTGAACACAGATTCATCCCTCTGTCACCAGGGATAGCTTCAGCAGCTGTTCTTAAAGCCTGACTTTTTATCTCATTTTAAGCCTTTTCTGGTACTTTTTTTTTTTTTTTTTTTTTAATTTTTTTTTTTT